CATGGTAGATTTTTCAAAGAATTAGACAACAGCTACATTGATACAAAAGCTTCTCACTTATGGTTAACAAAAACAAACATTTTTGCAGAAACTGAAGGTTTCATTTTTGCAATCCAAGACGAAGTGATCAACACGAAAAATTATACAAAATACATAATCAAAAGTAATAATGATGATCTTTGTAGACTGTGTGGAACACAATCAGAAACAATTCAACATCTCATTTCTTCCTGTCAAGTGTTGACTGCATCAGATTATAAAGTTAAGCATGACAATGTGGCCAAAATAATTCATTCTCAGTTAGCTTTTAATTCTGGCCTAATTCAAAATAAATCACCTTACTATAAATATAAACCAGATTCGATTCTAGAAAATAATAATTACAAACTCTATTGGGACAGAACAGTTTTAACTAGTTTGAATATAACAGCTAATAGACCAGATATTATTCTTATTTCTAAAACTGAAAAACATGCATTTTTAATTGATATTGCAGTTCCAAACACTCACAATATCCAGAAGACTTATCAAACAAAAATTTCTAAATACATGATCCTTGCTAATGAAATTAAAAACATGTGGAACATGAAAAAGGTCAAAATAGTACCGATAATCATTTCCGCAATTGGAGTAGTACCAAACAATTTAAAACTTAATCTTGAACTTTTAAAATTAAATTCAAATTTAATTATTGAGATTCAAAAAGCAGTCCTCTTAAAAACTTGTAATATTGTTAGGAAATGTCTCAATATTAACGAAATTCATAATAACATAAATAATAATTTAATTAATAGTAATTCATTAAGTTGCGAGGCGGAAGATCTGTAGTGACGCTAGATTGGGAAATTTAGGGGGTTTTTCTTACATTAATCTCATTTCAAACAATTCATCAACATCATTACTTGATAGCAATATCCGTAATGGTGAATCTTGCCTGACTGCAGGTCTAAACCGCCGGGTCAGTGGAGTGTAAAGGTTGTGGAAATTATTTGTCAGGGAATTATGTCTTGCATAACCGTCTGTCAAATGGTTTCTACTTCTTTTGCCGGGTCAAATAATAATAATAATGAAGGTCTTTATCATATGCAAGAAATAAAAATTAGTGATAAATTTGGAAAGAAACTGACAAGAAACCTCATTAGAACTTGCTTTAGTTCTGAGTTCAACTGATATTACAGAAAATTTATGAGAGTTAAGTTTTTACAAAACATTGCACTTTTTTTAATTGTTTATTGCCGTTTAAATAAAAAACAGACTTTATTCACATTTGACTTGTCACATTGCAGATTTATGGTTGGGGTTCAAATACTTACGGTCAACTCGGTTTAGGTCCTCTAATACAAGAGAGTCCCTACCCCCAAATTATCACAACTCTTGCTTTCAAAAAAATTGTCCAAAGCAGTGCTGGACAATACCATACAATTGCATTGACATCTAGCGGCGAAGTGTACACTTGGGGATGGGGTATTCACGGCCAACTCGGTCATGGTGACTGCGACAATGTCTACTACCCTAAATTGTTGCCGTTTAAACATAAAGTTATACAAGTGGCGGCAGGTCATGCACATAGTTTGATTTTAACAAGAGAAGGTAAACTGTTCGGATTCGGTTCCAATGTTTTTGGACAATTGGAGTATTGCCAACTTGATTCAAACAAATCCACTCGACCTGTTTTGATTTTGATTATGCCGGATATTTATACTCCTATTGAAAAAATTGCGACTGGATACTTTCATAACGTGAGAAATCTGGTAGTTTGAGTATTAGCATTGTTACTTGATTGATTTCAGATCGCTGTTCGTGCAGATCAAGACGTTTATACTTGGGGTGCTAGCCCCCAAGAAGTCAGAATTTTACAATCAAAGAATCTGCAGAAACAAAATGGTTTGTCGTTGAAAGGGCCCGATTCGTGGAAAGCGAGTGTTCATGTTTATTCCGGTGGTAATAAAAAACCAATAGAACAAGTCGTTGTTGGTTACAGACATTCAGTTATTTTGCACAACGGAAAGTTATTGTGGGGTAAAAACAAAGACGATGAACTTAGTCCCCCCAAACTTAATGATAAAGATAATATTAGTTTTTTTGCGCACAAGTTTATACATGTCTCGTGTGGATTAGATTACACTATGGCGATCGATCATGCTGGGAAGCTTTTAGCTTGGGGAAGCCCCTCTATGGCTCAGGTTGGTGAAAACCTTTATTTTAATGATTTGACCCTGAAATTTTCTAGACAATTCTCGGACGCTCTCTAGATGAAGACAACAAAGCTACAACTGAAGGCAAAGTCATTGTATTTAAAAATACTCGCAGAGTGATCAAGTTTCCCAATAATTTCGATGGAAATACGGATAATTTTCCAGTTGAAGTTCCGGGATTGCCGTCAATGGCCATAACTTTTAATCCCTCTGACCATAGGTCATTATTTATTAAAAAATACGTACCTTACGCTGTATTGCAAATAGAGAACGATCAAGACTTTGATCAAACGTTCAAACCTCCAACAAAAAACACATCACCACTTAATTTTATTCAAAACATTCCTAAATTTAAATTCGGACAAAAGACATTACATTATGCTCTCGAAACGTATCATGGATTTTACGATTCAGAGAATGTCATGTTCAAGTGTTTGGATATAAATAATTACCAAGGTGCTAGTAAAATCGCGATGTTGAATGGTCATTTTGGCGATAGTTTGGGATTTCAATTGACGGCTTTTAAAAAATATATGGATTCGTGTGATTTGGATTTAGATTCGATTTTTGTAAATAAGGAACAGTATGATAATATTAAGGAGAAAGAACAGGACTTTGTCGAATTCGTTGTTAAGAATATCCAAGAGGATTTTGGAGAGAAACATTATTTAAATTCGCCGGCACACATTTTCAGTTCAAGTTCGTCTCTTGACAGCATAAGACAGTGGGGTGACGATGTGGAACATCAGGGCGGCCGTGAGAGTCCTTGTGAAATGTCTGACATAGGAGACATCCGAGAAAGTATGAGCCATTACGTACAATCATTAAAAAGTAACGATAATTCACCTCCAATTACAAGTGTTTCAAAACGAGTCTCAGAGTCAGACAGTATTAAAAAGAGAGTGCTCAACGATGAAGAATTCATAGACCTAGAAATAAAAGATCAAAGGACTCGCAAAGTAATAGAAAACGCATCGAAATTGATCGAATTTTATATAAGAAAAATTTACGTGTCTGAAAACCATATTTTAATGCAGAACGCTTTAATGAAATGTATCGATTTTTGGTTAAGTAATAACTTGCCGGTTCCTATTTTAGAGAATGTACTTTTAAAAAACATGGACAAGTATTTTTATCCTTTGTCAATCTTATTGTTTTGTAAAAATTTCACCAATGGTTTGGACGACGAAATTATCAAAGAAAAAGGAGATTCTGCGGGATTTTTAAAGGAATTTTCAACTAAATTTTGCCTTCATCTGTGTTCTATGGTGTTAGAAAATGTCAATAAAGCGTAATCGGCCAAAATTTGACCGACCCATTTTCGTGTTTGCTTAAAATGTGTGGTGACACAAAAGTAAAGTTCAAAAACGACAACCGTATTTATACTAGTCTTGATTAGATCTCATTTGATGTGTAGTCATTATGTTTAGTTGTCTTCCAGGTTTTAGAATACATGATGATACATTACAGTTTAAGAAATTGCATATTTTTTTTGTGATAACGTTTCAGCTCAGAGCTAATGCACAATTTATATAGCATCACATCAATTTCGTTATGTAATTTTAGTAAACCCATATTTTATGTATTTGTGCAGATATTAGGTAATATGTAGGTCTTCAAATGTATTTTCAATAAACTTATTCAAACACAAAATATCTTTATTTAAGAAAAATCAGTAAAAAAATACAGGTCATGTTTAATCAAAATCAATGTCTGGCAATGAAATGTTATCAATGCTTTCTTCGTTATCTTCGTTAATCTCATAACTGTCTTCTGATTTAAGGAAATACTCGATTCTAGGTATTTTAATGAACATACTAAAATCGGATGAAAACTTTGGAGGAGGGGTCTTTAACTCCTTGTAGCCGCAATATGATTGTAATATGTTTAAAGTGTCCTTTTGAAAAATGAAATTGGCATCAATGTAATCATCTAAAAATAAAAAATATAAGATTTTATTATAAATACCAACGTACTCCGTGAAAACCGTTTATATCCTTAGAAGAATAAGTGTCATATAAAAATAAATCATCATCTGTGTTGGCCTTCTCAAAAATTGTCTGATTATCAACTTTTCGCTCAGGTTTTTTCATTTGGGGCTCAGATTTCAAGCTTCTAACAACACCAGGCGAATTAGCATTCACGGTTCTATCAATAAATGGTTTTCTTGATAAAGCGTTTGTGGTTCCCGGCTTTTTTACCACACTTCCAACGTCTAAAAAACGACAGTTGAAACTTATCAGTTATTATAAAGAATAAATTACTTACTTTCTTGCGAGAAAACGTGGATTGCTGGTGAAGAAAACATCGAATTCATGTTCAAAAAGTACTTTTCTTTAGCACTCACAAAATGCAGGTTTAAATCCACTTCGAAGCTTCAATATAATAATATCACTTTTATGATTTTTTTTTTATTTCTTTCCAACTGCCATCTACTGGCTCTTGCCAACCTAATAAGTTTGACAGACCCACGTTAAAAAATTTAAATGTATATCAATTTATTACTTATTTTTTAAATGTATTAGTATTATAAAAATCGGGGTTATGCTTATGGCATTTTACAGTCTAAACAATAATTTTATTAGTGAGAACTACAGCGTAAAAATTAAATTACTTTGGCGTAACTGTAGACGATATCAGGCAAGCTGTAGACACTTCCACTATTAGGTTGTTAACATCAATATAACCTAACAATTTTCGTTACGTTTTTACACGTTTTATTCTACATTCAGGTATGTTTTCGAGTTTAGAATAACCGTAGTGTTGAAACAAGATGTTTTAGATAATTGAAACATGGCCAAGCATCACCCCGATTTGATTTTCTGTCGCAAGCAGCCGGGGGTCGCTATAGGGAGGTTGTGTGAGAAGTGCGATGGCAAATGTGTAATCTGCGACTCGTACGTTAGGCCCTGCACATTAGTGAGAATTTGTGACGAGTGTAATTACGGTTCTTACCAAGGCAGATGTGTAATTTGTGGTGGTCCAGGTATCTCTGACGCTTACTACTGTAAAGAATGCACAATTCAGGAAAAAGACAGGGATGGTTGTCCAAAAATTGTAAATCTCGGTAGTTCAAAGACAGATCTCTTCTACGAGCGGAAGAAATACGGTTTTAAGAGACGTTAAAGTGGTTTCTATGTAATAAATAAACAAATAATTTTATTTGTGTTTTTGTGACAGCCTGTGCTGAAATGGTTTACCCTCATTCCTACAGAACTGAACATAGCGAAACCAGAACTACAAACAGTGTGTATGGAGAGTACTATGCCCAACATCAAAGTAAAAAAATTCCGATTCAACCTGAACTTCTAAAGATTATCCAATTTATCGATTCTCACCGTGGCGGATTTCTCAAAGATTTGGCCGATGCTGTTATGATCAAATCAGTATCAGGGAATTTAGAATACAAAGATGATGTACAAAAAATGATTGATTTTACCCAAGACTGGCTTTCCAGACTTGGACTAAAATATGAGCGTTTTAACATTGGGTTTCATGAACTTGGGGGACAAAAACATAGACTGCCAACCATTCTTTTGGCCTCTTTAGGACACGATCAACGAAAGAAAACGCTTTGCATTTATGTACATTTGGATGTTAAAGAACCTGATTCAAGCAAATGGCACACAGATCCTTGGACTGTTAACCAAATCGGTAACTCAATTTTTGGCTGTGGCGTTGCACAAGGAAAAGCCACTTTAATTCATTGGTTTCACATTATTGAAGCGTTTCAAAAAACTAATACTGAATTTCCGGTTAATCTAAAATTTATTATTGAGTCAATGTATCACTATGACAGTGTTGGTTTAGCTGATTTTTTGCCATTGAGAAAACATGATTTTTTTGTCGATATTGATAATATAATAGTTTGTGACTGTGAATGGATTGGTGAAAAGCGCCCTTGTATCATTTATGGTACAATTGGGGTAATACATTACGATATATTTGTCGAAAAAGTTTCTGGTTCAAAAACTGATCCTCGTGATGACATGGTTAACATATTTAAGGAAATTGTTGACGACAAAGAACATATTTTGATCCCGCATTTTGACGATATTGTTTCGCAAATTACTCCAGAAGAAGAGAAGATGTATGAGGATATTTGTGATTTTAACATTGATGACATCAGGTACATTTTTCTAAAGAATTATTTGTTTCAATTATATAGAAATTTTAGAGAGAATTTGCCCAGTTTTAAACAAAAGTGGGATAAAGTAAAACTCTTAATGCATTATTGGAGATTACCTTCAATATCTGTTGGTGAAACGGAAGAATGTACTTGTGAAAAGAAAGATGTGGACATTGTTAAAAGACATTTTGTTGTAAAAATAGTTCCACGTCAAATTATTAACAGATCAGTTAATCTTACAATAAATCACATTAATAATGTAGCTAAAAAACTTAATATAGAGAATAAAGTCACTTGCGAGGAGGTTTCTTCAACTAGATTTTGGCATGAGAGTGTCGCTAATCCTAATTACCAAGCTGCAAGAAGGGCAACAATTCAAGTAGAACTATTTGTTTTTACGAATCAATTGATTTTAAAGATTATTTTTAGATTTATAAAGAAGATCCGAGCATGATTAAACATGATAAACCTATGGTTTTGTTAACTATCCTTGACAGAGTTCTGGAGAATAATATTCTTCTTCTGCCATTGGTTACATGTGGTTCTAATGCAGGCATGGAAAATGAAAATATAACTGTCCGAACCTTTTATGAGAGTACCAAGCTTCTGGCTGCTTATTTATTTCAATTAGCAAAATCATAATATATGCAAAATTAATTGCGGAAAGCGTTATTTTATTGATTCTTTTCTTTGTTTATCTGTACAGTCAAACTTCTTTTAAAGAGTTTTTTTAAAGGCTATTTTATTTTTGTTATAAGTACCTAAAATAAGGACGAACGGTTATTGCTGTTTCCGGACGAGGCGAAACCGAAGTTTGGGTGTGCCTAATTTCATGCCTAATACCTTCCTTTAAAAGGTTCTTTGTGTTGTTCCGTTTTTTTGCAAATCACACACAAAATGTTTGCAAAACGTAAGGAATTTATCGTTTTGTAATTTGCCAGGAAAGGAACGGTGTCAATTTTTAACATTTGTTGGCGGACAAGAAAAAATTATATTCGACATATTTCGGGATTTTTTACAAAAATTGCCTGTATTATGAATTTTATTCGAATTAAAATTTCCACCCTGAATAAGATCGAATTATCGCTTCAGGTCCTTTATGAACTATTTCGTTATTCCATAGTAGCTAAAGTCTGTCTATATTTGCTTGAATTTTATGGTGCAAGAGAGGCAATGAACGTCTTAATTGTAAAGGTTTGTTTTCTTGGAAGTTGCTTCAACGGCCAGCTGGTTGCTTTGGTAACAATAGCCTTACAACCACACTCATTAAATTCCTGATAACCTAATTTGGTAAGTCAAATCCATAAAATTCAATATAGACAGACTTTACACAGAAACATTTTTCTATACAGGGTGCTCCAGAACTCGCGCCCCAGAGAAAAATGTAAGGTAAGAACATGGAAAAATTCCCGAGTTATGAGAGTTTAAAATTTGTACTTCGACTCTATTTATTTCTGTTAGAAAAATAATTTTCCAAGTTTTTTTGCAACAGTCTATTAGAAGAGGATACAAAGAAGCTGTATCCTAAATTGTAACTCTGTTCAATGTTATTTTGTGGCTTTTATTGGCAAAATTTTTGTTCCTTTACTAATAACTGTAAAAAAACATATATAAGATCATCAGTATCATTAAATAGACATAAAAAAATGTCAAATGTCACAAAATAAATGTCAAATTTTTTTGACAGATAGAATTTTTTAAACATTTTTTACATTTTTTCCATTTTTCTGGTATCTTATCTAACTTGAAATTTTTCAATTATTTAGTAAAGGGACAAAAATTTTCCCAATAAAAGCCTCAAATAACATTGAACAGACTTACAATTTAGGATACAGCTTCCTTGCTTCCTCTTTCAATAGCCTATAGCAAAAAAACTTGGAAAATTATTTTTCCAACAGAAATAAATAGAGTCAAAGTGCAAACTTTAAACCCTCATGACTTCGAAATTTTTATAGATAAAATTTTTTTAACATTTTTTCCATGTTCCTGGTATCTTACCTTATATGGCATTTTTCTCGGCGCGAGTTCTGACGCACCATGTATTTTTTCTGTATGAATATAATAAATTATGTCCTCTCTTGGCTCAACTTTAACACAAATTTTCTTTTTACTGAAAAATCACATATTTTGTGTCCCCGGATAGGTGAAACGATTCTTGTAAAAGACAAAGAACTCCCGATTTAAATTTTTATTTTTTGAGGTTCGTCTTCGCTTGGTTAAAGAATAATTTCTAACATGATTTTAGTTTTTAAAAAACAAATATGCTTTGAAAATTTTCAGAAAATCTATTTTTTATACAGGGTGTTAAAAAAAGATTGTAAAATATTTCAGGAGGTATAGACCAAAACAAACAAAAAAGTCTTAATAAACATGGGTCCGCAAAATAACGGTTTCGGAGATATCGAAAATTATTCGTTTTTCTGTAACATTTATTTGCAATCTGTTTAAACAAAAGAGCTTCTAGTAACAATTCTAAAAATTTTCACATTCGATATCTCCGAAACCGTTACTTTGCCATGTTTATTAAGACTTTTTTGTTTGTTTTGGTCCATACTATTACCTCCTTAAATATTTTAGAATCTTTTTTTAAGACCTTATAGAGTAGGTTCAGTGTCATTTTTGTGGCAAATACACAAAAAGTTGTTCAGAATCAACATCTAGGCCCCTATACCAAATATTAAAATGATCAGCAACTATGATTTTTTATTTTTTTCCAAGATACATATAGTTAGTTATGCTTTTTAGTAATAGATTTTAATCTTTTATTTTGCTTTTGGATTTACTCGTAAATGATTTGTTTTCTATTTATTAATAACCTCATGCAGGTTAAACTTTTGTGTGAACTACGATTAGCACTGTAAGATGCCGTTTCCATTGGGTTTTATTGACGATTGTGGACAGCGCTAATTATCAGCATCGAGGGTGTTATAGCTTGGAGATGATGGGACGTACGGCCGGTGCGAGGTGGTATATGTAATTATGGGCGCGGACCTGTGGAGATATCTTGTCACGATTGTGTTAAGTATAGTGTTTGGTACACCAATAATCGGACTAGTGGTCCAGAATCCGGTTCTTCGCAAATTGACTGTAGAACCATGTTGGTAGTTTATTTGGATGATTGTAGTAGCGATTGGTACTTTATTAAAAATACCCGCTTGATCGGAATACGGAATTTAATATGGATGGATACAATCCGGTCATGGTAACCTCAGCGAGCACATGGTATTATTTCTTCGTTGCAGAGTAATTAATCTGAACCATGCAAAAGCCAAGGTTCAGCTTGTTATTATCGGCGAAATTAGATCGGGGTGTTTGCTCGCATGATTTGCTAAAATCTGTTTGGCGCTTGTGATGTATTGCATTTTGGCGTTTAGGGAAAACGTGTTATCGGGATTTTAGGAATTTTTAGTTAAAATATTTGTGATCATACTTGTCTACATTTAAAAAAGTACACCGTCTGTATGAAACCAGAACATATTATTAAAAAGTGATTTATATGAGCGTAATTTGCATTTAATTTTAAATTAATTTTAAACAAAAACATGCGGTGCGGATATTACGTTCAATGTTAATTTTTAATGAAACTATTTTCTTTATTCAATTTTACACTTAGGCATGATTGATTTCAATTTGTACTTCGCCTCTCTTATAATAAAACTTAATAATTATTATTGTTAATATATCATTAGGTTAAATTTTTTATAGGAATATTTAAAGAGTAAATTCATTAATATGCATAAGGTAGATAACACAATAACGTCTTTATACGTTAGTGTTACAATAAATTATCATTTTTATCTTTTGCACTACTTATAATCCAGTCACTGAACGAATTACAGAATGCATGGTTGTTTTGTTTCTCTTTTATGATTATTATGTCAATTTGATATTTTAACATTTCCTGTTTAAAAACAGATTTTAGTTGTTTATTTTAAATAATATAAAAGGATTAGTTGAGAAAGAAGCATTGCTTTGTACAATCTTTAAAAACTCAAATTGTCAAAACTGCAGTTTCACGCATCACTGGTACAGTTGGAGACAAAATACTTTGGTCGTCAATGTCACTTGAGTGACAGTAAATTATAAAGCATGCTTTAGGACTGCTAACCTTATTTTTAGCTAATATCAATCATAGTTGACAAGTTGTATGTACATATTTTTGATAGGAAAATATAATAGATGTCATTAATTTGAAATTGTCATTCATATTAACGTTAAAGTTTGAATTACATTAAAATGTCAAAAAAGTGACGACCAAAGTATTTTGTCTCCAACTGTATGTATAACTTTTAAACACCAAAGTGAGCAAAAGTATGTTATTTAGCTATTAAAGTGGCAATAAAATGATTATTATCCACAATCACTCTATAAAGAGACTTTATTCCACACTTTAGATGCGTATAAACTACCATTTTATCTTATCCACTAGTGGAATAATGCAACTTTATTCCACTGTTAGTAACCAGCGCACTGCGTAACAGCTTACTACGTTTAACGGAGAGCACATTTGGCGTGACGTTTAAATGTCAGTTTAATTTTTGTTTGGAATAATTTGGGCCTGTGATTGTGGATAAAACGTTATATTGCAGTCGAGTGTTCGTCGCGTTTTATCCACTTAAGAATCATTCTTGCTTGGATAAAACGCTATCTAACATTCTTACAATAAATAACTATTATTATTATTAAAATTTGACGTGACAAAAGAAGAAGAAACCATTTGGCAAAAAATTATTCAAGCTCAAGACATAATTTTCTGACAAATAATTTCCACAACCTTTATACTCCACTGACTCGGCGGTTTAGACCTGCAATCAGGCAAGATTCGCCATTACAGATATTGCTATCAAGTAATGATGTTGATGAATTGTTTGAAATGAGATTAATGTAAGAAAATCCCTCTAAATTTCTCAATCTAGCGTCACTACAGATATTCTGCCTCAGAACTTATAATGAATTATTATTAATTAAGTTATTATTATTTATGTTATTATGAATTTCGTTAATATTGAGACATTTCCTAACAATATTACAAATTTATAAACGGACTGCTTTTTGAATCTTAATATATACATTTGAATTTAATTTTAAAAATTCAAGATTTAAATTGAATGGTCCAATTGTTCCACATGATTTTAATTTTATTAGCAAGGATCATGTATTTAGAAATTTTTGTTTGATAAGTCTTCTAGATATTGTGAGTTTTTGGAACTGCAATGTCAAGTATGCATGTTTTTCAGTTTTAGAAAAAAAGGTGATTTATTTTGAATTAAGCCAGAATTAAAAACTAAGTTAGCTTAGCTAACTCAGAATGAATTTTATAGTACGATGCAGACTTGGAAGGAAAAATTAGATGTTGAAATTATTTAACTTATTTTTCATTATTTTACTATCTTTTCATTTTGTGCAAATACAGACTGGATTATAAAAAACGCCCCAAGCCACAATACCATTATTTTTATTAAAGATATGACAATACTTGGAACAAAGTAGCACTTTGCACAGTTTATTGTTTTTTATTTACATTCATCGAGCGTCTACCTCAAAAAATTTCTCATAATAAAATCAACTTTGATCAAAGAAGCATTGTCGTATTTTTAAAAATAAGCAAGTTATTGCTTAGGGCTTTTTTATCATTATTTTCAATAAAAAAAATATTTTCAAGAAAAAACACGTCGATTAGGATCACGAGATGGTCGATATGTTTGTGAATCAGGGTTTATTGTATTTTAAAAACTAAT